GTTAGTCTGTCTTAGAAACTTAAAACTAAGACTTAAATAAACTTAACTTATGCAAATAAAGGGGGTGGAGTGTAGGAGTCCCTTCCTAAATATTATGGATGACAAGCTTCATTGGTCATTACCACTGGGGGTGGTTCTGGTAGACACAATAGTCCCAGATTTCACCATCTGACCCAGTTTCGAGTGAAAGTTTACATTTATGGGGCAATAAAATGAATCGCTTTGAGTCCTCGATGGACCTGCACATTACAAGACATGAATTTATGACAGCCTTCTTGCTGTCAACCCTGACCAATTTGTGTACCCTTTTAACTTCATGATTTATAACAGTGCCATCCATAACACTATTTTACGCATAAGCACAAAAGAAACCCTTCTCGAAATCGAAACAAAAGATTTTGATTCTTAAAGAAACTATTATTTAAAAAAAGCAGACGTTAAAAAGAAACTGAATTTTGAGTAAAACGAATTGATGAATAGGACTCGAACAACCTTGTTTCCAATAAAATAAATGCCGCTTCTTATACCGATTTTGCATGAAAATTATTTATGTGAATATTATCTGCCAATTCTCGAAATTTAAAAAAAATTGTAAGAAAATTAAAATTGTCAGGCACTAAAACCTACATGAATTAATATGAAATGTATAAATTAACATGCGTTCAAATAGAAATTTAAAATGCTTATATTTTCAATTTTAGTAGCGCAAAATGGGTGGAAATTTCTCGTATGCGTTCAGAATACAGGCAGGTATTTACAAATAAATTTTTAAGATGATCGTAAGAAAATTTTTTGGTACGTCCTTAACTATTTGAGAACAGTACAGAGGATACCGTGGATAGAGAAGGATAGAAATGAAGAGGTAATAGAAAGAGTAACAGAACAGAGGACTCTATGGAAGTCAATAAGAAGTTGGTGAGATAAGTTAGTAGGACACCTTCTCAGACTAGGTCAGAGACATACTAGAGGCAGAAATGGAAATTAGAAGGGGTAGAGGTACCTAGATTAGATTTTAGTTTTAGGAGAATGCGAAGATTCGTTCAAGAGAGGAAAGAGTGGAGGTGCGTGTTCAGCCAGTCTTAGGACTGATAAACTTACGATGATGATGAATCAAATATGGGTCTACCTCTAATACGCCTCTGACTAGACCTTCATGCCTAAGAAGGTGTCCTACCAACCTATCTCGCCTATTTCTTATTGATTTCCATAGAGTCCT